TGCTTAACCACTTGCGCCACCAGAGAGGCCCTGAATACCATTTTAAACACTAAAATGGATGGTTCAAAATGCACTTAAAACTTTAATGACAACATCCTAGTTTGTGAAAAAAGGACATAGATGTAACATTCATTTGCATCCCTTCATTACAAAATGTTCCACATACCAGCAAAGATATATTAAATGTCTCTCGTTTTCTTAAAGGAAAACAGCCATGTCTCTTTTGCAACCTACAACTAATATGAAAGGGTGATTTCTGCCCTCTGAACACTGGAAAGCAATTTTGAACTCATCGATAAACCTGAAAGAACTAATCCATCAAGTCGTCCTACTGATAATTGAGTGAAAAGCAAACCAGTCCACGACATAGGCATCACAACACAGGCTATGACAGCAATAGGAAGGGAGTGTGTATGTGTGTGTTATTCCTTCTTCCTGATGCTAATAGCAAATGTTTAAAATTGTCTATGTAAGTGATTGTTTGACTGGAAAAAAAAAAAGAAACTCTAATGCTAGTATTTATACCTTCTGCAATGAAAACAAGATATTATTGCTTTGCATGACCTTTCCTAAGCATGAGATACAGCATTTTACACAATAGTTTCTTGGTTCATGCTGCAATTACTGACCTTTACTGTGTAGAAAATTAATGCAATTTTCATTGTAATCCATCCATACAAATAAGGTCCCCATAGAAGAATTCCACATATGGAATCTAATACAAATAGGAAATGTCAGCTGATTGCTGTTGGCTGAACTTAGCCATTATCTGACTGTTCCAGAGTCCTCAGCGAGCTATACTTGTAACAAGCAGTTTCTTGCATGGCCCATCAGGTGTAAAAAAGAAAGATCTCCTCTCTTTGAAGTTTAGATTGTACCTTCAGTTTCCTAAAATCCAAAAAGCTGAACCCACAAAAGAAAGATGGCAAAATTGTGGGGGCTAGCCTGGTTGCTAATATAGGTCCCTGCCATGGGCTACTGTCAATGAGGAGGCGCAAGAGGCTACAGTGATGTCATTTTGCAACAATCCCTGTTGCAGACAGTGGAAGTATGACAGACCCCAGACGGTGTCCTGGTCTCTGCATGAGAGACAGCAGAATATGGGAACATGTCCATCTCCTAGGGAAGCCGTGCCAAGGGGCCCCGGGAGCTTTCATCTTCCTCGGCTGTCCACGATGGTATTTGGTGGGAAGGGGCACTGGCAATTACGGAGTGTCACTTTCAAGATGGATAGTTTGGGCAGAAGGAGTTCCTCTTCTGGTTTGGAAGGAAACGACTGTGTGTTTATCATTTGTAAACAGTTCGTCTCTCGCTGGGTGTGTTACAGTTCCCAGAAGCGTGATCTGTCATGTCTAACATGCAACAGAAGCCAGAGGGCTCTCCTGGCAAGGCCTGGGAGACAGGGGGCTGCTGGGGGCAGGGAACATGGCCTGGGAGGGCGCATGCAGGTCAGTGACCAGCTCAGCTGGTGGGTGGAGCTGCCCTACATGGAGAAGAAACGAAGGACTGTGATTTCTACGTGGATGACGTGTGTTCTGGGGTTTTCCAGTTGAGAATCCCTTTCATTTGCAAATCTATTTGCGAGAACATGGATGGAAGGGCTGGGATGATACTAAGTGGAGGGGATGATACTAAGTGACTAAGTCTGAAGGAGAAAGAGAATACCAGATGACTTCACTCCTGTGTAGACTATAGAGAAACAAAGAAACTGACAAAACTAAACCAAAGCAAACCCTCAAAATCTGACTGTAGAGTTGAGGCTACCAGGGGGGAGGGTGCGAGCAGGATACAAAGGTGGGAGAGTCCCCAAGGACTGTGTGGGAGGATTATGGGTGCTCTGCTGCTGGGGGTGGGGTGATCCCATACACCTGAAGAGTTGAGGACCTGCACCACTAAATCATGTAAGATTTTGTCAGTTAATGTTACAAAATAAAAAGATATGGAGAAGAATGCAAAGTTCAGTCTCCCCTAGCAATTGAAGGTTTTGTTAATAAGAAGAGGCATAAATATCAACTCTTAATTTTAGACTTGCTCCTCTAGAAGATGTCATAGAAATATCAACTTGAGGGGCCTCCCCTGGTGGCGCAGGTGGTTCTGAGCGCAGCACTGGGAAGCTGTCTGCAGCCTCTGCAGTGCTGGTTCGATCCCGGCCAGCCAGCGAGAATCCCACATGGTGGGGCAAACCTCTCCTGTCTCACCCGCTGCTCCCTTCAGCAGTGTATTTTGTCAGTCTGCCTGTTCTGTTCCCTGCTCTGTCTCTGGTGAATCCTCTCACCTGGCCGCGCATCTGGCCTGTACCCTGGTTCTTGCACACATGAATAAATAAATCTTAAAAAAAAAAAAAGAAATATCAACTTGAAGAGGTCAATAAGCATGGAAGACACTACAGGCCCCATGAAACATCCTGCAATCACAGCATCTCAAGAAGGGAACGGCCCTGGAGGAAGCAAGGAACACAGCAAGGTCAGGCCAACAGGTGGTGCTGGCGATGCTGGAATGAAGGCAACAGCCCCAAGGCTCATTCATTTGCAGGGCTGTGGTTCCACTGCAGTCATCCTTGCCCAGAAAGGACTAGAACCCAGTCCAAAGGGTTCTACCTCCAAGGCCCCCAAGCTTTTAGACACCCTGGAGGCATCTCAGTAGAAGGTTTGAGGCTGATGACCACTGGTCTACACTTCCTGGCCTGAATCTGTGGCCTGTGATGACCTGACCCCACTGTTCCATTCATCACCTTCTTACTGGATGTTCTCCTCACCCAGTGGGTCAAAGACACATGGGCACAGTGACGTGTAACATGCAGGTGATGTCCTCTTCCAGGGACATTTTGTTTAAACAGGTTGATTGAAACAGCAGGGAGCTTCCTCACTTCTGATACAAGAACACTCTGTGCAGGGGAGATACATTCTGCTTGTCCCCACTCACATGATCCACTTACATGTACTTTGACTTTGAATTCTGAGTCTCTCCTATCTCAGCTCTCTGGAACCTACCTTTTTCCTTATGATTCCTTGCCGTAAGATACCTTAGACTTGTGGCATGCTTTTGGGCTGATCCTGTTTGGCTGAGCACTTGCCCACAAATGGGTGGGGAATTGGTGGGGATGGGGGGTTACTGGGAAGCTACTATTAGGACTAGCCTTTCTTCTTCTCTTCTCTTTGCTTTTCTCTTCTCTTCTCTTCTCTTCTCTTCTCTTCTCTTCTCTTCTCTTCTCTTCGCTTCTCTTCGCTTCTCTTCGCTTCTCTTCTCTTCTCTTCTCTTCTCTTCTCTTCTCTTCTTCCTCTGTGCACACTAATTCCATTAAAAATCTTTCACATTTGGGCCTAACCCTACAAGGGGTTAAGTCTCAGCACTATGAAGCTATCCAAAGCCACTGCAGCATGAGTTTGATCCCCAGTCAGGAAGGTGACCCACATGGCACAGCAGACCTCTCCTGTCTCCCCGCTGCTCCCCTCAGCAGTGTATTTCAGTCAGTCCACCTGTTCTGCTCCCCACTCTGTCTCTGGTGAATCCTCTCACCCCTGCACCTCTGGCCTGTACCCCAGTTCTTGTATGCATAAATAAATCTTTAAAAAAAAATCTTTCATGGCGCGCAGACCTCTCCTGCCGCCCGCTGCTCCCCTCAGCAGTGTATTTCATCAGTCTGCCAGTTCTGCTCTCTGCTCTGGCTCTGGTGAATTCTCTCACCTCTCGCGTGTCTGACTGTACCCAGTGCTTGTATAAATAAATAAATAAATCTTAAAAAAAAAGGTTCACATTAAGAGTCTACTTCCTTTGCCTTTGTGTGGCAGACCCCTTTTATAGCATGTACCCCTTTAACAGCTTGGGGTCCCTGAGTGCCCCAAGGTCATGCACTAACATTTCCAAGTCTTGGTTAAGAAAATTCGGTATTTTGCTGAGTAGAGGTTTGAAATCATTTCCCTCATACATGGGTCTCCTTTGACAAAGCATACTTCATGTAATTTGCTTGGCTCTAGTTTTACCTTCTAGGAGTCCGATTACTCAGAGGCCCTGTATATCAATTCATTAAGAAGAAAGTTGACTCTGCGTGATCTTTTTTCCCAAAAGCATCAATCCCCTCTCGAAATATTATACTTCACTTTGCTGTCAATGATCATCTCAACACAACACATATGAATGACTTTGTAATCTCCCCAACTTCCTTCAAATCTATGCAGCCGATTCATGATAAGGCTATTTCTGTCAGGGAGCCAGTGCTTTTGGATTCATTTCTATTTCCTGGGGTTTTTTATTAGCGACTTACTCTTAAACTTCGCCTTTCACCTGTCTCTTTCCACCTTCCTCCCCAAGCCTCCGTGTACCCCCATCACCAGCCCCAGACACCCCCGGGGTTCTAGGGGTGACAGGACATCCATGAAGCCAGTAGCATCTCATGGCATTTGTTTTTTTTTTTTTTCCATTTTATTCCAGAAGGTTTGTCTGAAAGTATAATGACAACAAAAGCAGCAGATTTGAGAGAGTCTCCCAGGAGAAGCAAAAGGACAGATGTACACAGACATATAGCTGAAAACGCTGCCAGCAACAGCTGGGGAAGTGACAGGCTCTGAAGTGGGTGACCACCCCACCGAGCGCAGACGGGAACCTAAAGGCACAGCCATTTCACTTGATTTACTTTTGACTTCCCACGTTCCCTTTCATCTACCAAGGGGCAGGTTCATCTGGGCTTGCCTCAGATGACAGGCCTCCTACAGGGGCGCTCTTCACAGCATTTCAATAATTCCTTCTCTTGCGCTCCTTTTCATCCTCATTTTAAAAATCTTTGAATGGATAGAGGCTTTCTACGTTGCAAAAATATTACTATGCTGGCTAGTCTATTGTGCAAAAAATAAATAAATAAAACCAGACTCGGCATGAAAGAAAGCTCCCTGAGGCGAACACCCATGTCCCCTCCCGTGTTCTCCCTGAGGGAGTTAGTGGGGGACCCCATGGCTCCTGGGGCAGACCTGAGGGAGGGAGTGGGGGACCCCCTGGAGGACACTCACCTTGTCATCCTCATCATCCTCGTCATCCACGTCTGTGCTCTCCTGAAAGGAAAACCCACGTGTGTTAACAAAACAGCCACTGAAATGACCAAATGCAAATGAAGCTCATCCACCTTTTAAAAGTTTCACTGCATCCTGCGAGCACTCATCTCTTTTAAATACAATATCGCCTCTTGAAAAACGATGGCTCTGAAAGTTCAGGGACACGTGGCCAGGACGATAAACACTACATATAATTTACATAAAATTATTCACGAGACATAAAGCTATTAGGTAAGCGCCCTTTGAAGGCATCTGGCTTTAAAAATGCGCTGCTGAGTTGTATGCTCGGTAAACAGTTTTGTTCTTACTCTGACAAATGAGCCAGCCGCTGTGTTAAGGCTGAGAGCACCGGGCTCTCGGTGCTGGGCTGGCTCTTCTCTGGATGATTTTCCCCTTTGGGGTCATTGCTGACACATCAGACAACAGAAAATGCTTTAGTGCAAACACACGCAATCTCAGCATAGGTGACTGGTTTCTATGCGGTGTTATTGTTTTTCTTGGGCTTCGGGGTTGGGAGGGGCAGGTGCAGGAAGGGAATTCAAGGCTCTGATCTGGGCTAAAGGGCATTTAGCTTGGTTCAGGAGCTGCAGCACCAGCTGTGCTGAGAAAAGGCTGGTGCAGGTGAGTTTAGAGATCTTGGCTATCTAAAAGGTAAATGTCAATTATACCCCTGCAAGATTTAAAGCGAACACACATTGGTGCACAATCCAATGGGTTCGTCAGCTCAGAATAAGTACTGGGCATTGGAAAACCAGGAACTCTTCTTAGCTTTAATACCTTTCTGCTTAACCTTGCAAAAGTCAGGCAGGATACTTAGATGTCTTTGTTCCAATAGGAAAAAGCATTGTCAATAGCGTGCTTCTAAAAGGGACCAACTGAAGTATCCAGAGGGTTCTCTATTATACTCCATAAAGCCCATGAGTAGTCATCAAGGAATTTCTCCAGGGCTGGCACCTCATTGCCTCCCAGAATTCCCAGGAGCTGCAGCGAGCAATTTGTCTGACACACATGATGCTGGAAAACCAACCTATTCACCATCAGCAGTGGATATAGTGCACAGAAGCAAATGGATAAACATGAATGTGATGAACACTAATGTGATGAACACTTGCTCTGGACAAAGGTACTATCACCGGGGCCACCGGTCTTCAGCCCGAGACACTGTCCCAGCACTGGTTTGTGGGGTGTGTCTTCTGGTAAATGGCTTTGCCACTCTGAACCTTAGATTCATCCAGCATGAAACGAAAATGGTAGCTCCTCATGGCTCTGCTATCAAGATTAAACTAAGCAACAAATTGGTGAATGTCTGGTAAATTAAAAAGGTTTTAGACACACACACAAATTACATGCATATACACATAAGCTTACTTATAGATGTGTGGGGTGTGTGTGTGTGCGTGTGTGTGTGTAAGAGAGAGAGAGGGGAAGAGATAACCTACACATGAAGGCATACACCAGACCACATGCATCTATCATACACTAGAAACACACACACACATCACATATAGAGCTAGAAAGAGAGATAATGATTAAAAATTGTAAAAGTGTTAGTTGACAGCTTTTCTTGCTACAGACATTTTTCTGTAAAAACTCCCCTCATCTGTACCCCTGCAAAACTAACTCCTTAAGCCTGTGCTGTATAATGAGCCCTCACTATTGGTCTGTGCCCATGTCTATCCTGCACTAACAAGCAAATGTCAGAATTTCTCCACTTCCCCTTTTAACCCAAATGAAATCAGAAACATCCTTAACATTGATTTTTTTTTTTAAATAATGACAGCATTTTCCAAATAATGGGTAGAGGCAGGGCAGCGAGCTTCTTGATGTGAAGGTGGTCATCTTTTTCGAAAGGATGCTCAGTTTCTAGATTTTTGCTCGAAAAGCCTGGTTCTTGAATCTGGCAGGCCAAGATGAGCCCATCAAGCAAACCAAAAAACGCAAGCTCCTGTCCACCCAGATCAGGAAAGGATGCTTTGGGCTGTGGTGTGAGGGAGGTGGAGACAGTCAGAAAAAAAAGATGTGGGGAATGTCTTTGAGAAGAGGCTTGCAGGGGCTTCCTTCAACTCAAGGGGAGCTTGTGAATGACAAGAAAAATGTGGGCACTCAACAATACAGAGACCCAGGCCAACCAGGTCCAGATGGCTGGGAGCTGGCGAGGCCTGAAGATTCCACTAAACCTTCAGGCCAGAGACAAATATCCCAAGGGGTGGATATCCTCCTGGGGGTCCTGGGGCCATGATGGGCTCTGGGGGCCAGGAAAGTCCATCTCTATTGGCTGAGGTTGCGATTCCCAGGAAGCTGGCATAGAACCAGGTGGGGACACAGACTTGGGCCTCCAGCATGGACATGATGACCAAGGACCAGAGAGCTCTTTGCTGAGAATGGGCCTGAGTCCCAGCGTATGAGACACCACAGCAGGCAGCTGCCAGACCTCTCTGATAACAGATCTGCTTATTGGTACTACCAGCGCCGGCTGCTCCGAGTCCCATGTGAAATGGAGCACGATGTGGTGGTGGCGGTTTACTGTTAACACCATTTTTTCTAGTCAAGTGTCAGCACGAATGGAATCTTGGCTCACCTGACTGTCCTGGATGCTGCCGACCTTCCCTTTTGTGGGTCTGAGGAAATTGTAGATGAAGAGCAGCAATAATGCCAAGGGGATCATGTACAGCTCAAAATTCCACACAGTGACCAGAAATACCTGATTGGAAGACAAACAGGACTTAATGGCTCTTGACACAGTGGTAGGGGAGCAATCTTAAATTCTTACTCATTGACGTAAGGAGATTGGACCAAGGATGCACTATCAATGCACAAGGGTTTATAGAAACACTCTCAGACAGGATAACACACACATTAGTACAGCTTTAGAACTGGTAGTAGCATGAGTTGAAGATACAGCATGAGTTGGCCCATCCTGTTCTGGAATACACAGACACAGCAGCTACACACCTGGAAAGGCAACCGCCCTCCTTACATTTTACCTCACCAAGCTCCTCCATTTTGTGTGCCAGGATTTAGACAACATAGCAGCATTCAGATAAAGGCCACAACCAGGCAGACCACAGGTCAAATTTTCCCACCCGTGAGGCTTATTTGAACTGGAAAGAGTGATTACTTTTTAAATTAGCTGTCAGTGTTTAAAAATCCAAACATTTAGGATAAAACCTTCCAATTTTGAAAGCCTCTTTACAAATCGTAAAACTCTTCCAATGTTGAGGCCGTCAGCTACAAGAAAATAATGCACTAGCACTGCCTGCTTCAGACAAGGTATATGCTGACCCATCCAGATTTATTAGCCTCAGAATTTGTGGCTCTTCCTTAGAAGACAGAATGAGTGAGACCTCTTGAAGCCAAGAATCTCTCTATGATGGTAGCTGCAACAGGGATGCAAATAAGACATGGCCCTACCTCCAGGGAACAAGCTAATTAGTAAGACTAATAAGAACAGAACACAGGAGAGGTATAACATGAGCTGGGAGTGAAATTTTGGACACATTACTTCAAAACTTAAGCCTCACTATCTTTTTGAACTCACAGGTAGTCGAGAAGATGAGATAGAATAATTGTGGTTATTAGCTGTCAGCAACTAAGTGCTTGAAAACGTCACTCTTGGAACATAACACCTTAGAAGCAGCAAATTACTACCTCGTAAATACCTAATCTTCCTTTCCAAAGCAGTTCTGTTGTGCCTATTACTAAAAACTTTTACCATTTTAAAGTTTTCTTCTTGTGCACATTTTGTATTTCTTTTCTCAGTTGCTATGCAAATAAAATCACATTCTTTGGACCACCCTCGTGGCCTAGGGGTTAAACCTCAGTGCTACCAGTGCAAAGATCACAAACAGCCTGAGTTCGTTCACTCTCTGGCCAGAAGCTGACCCACATGGAGCAGCAGACCTCTCCTGTCTCGCCTGCTGCTGCCCTCAGCAGTGTATTTCAGTAGATCTACCTGTTCCGCTCACCACTCTGTCTCTGGTGAATCCTCTCAACCCATTTACCACTCTTTTCCCTGCACCTCTGGCCTATACCTCAGTTCTATGCAAAAAAAAACAAAACAAAACATTTTTTTACATTAGTAAGCATAGAATTTTTGAAATACTTTTTCAGTCAGTGTAGACTATGATGCTATTGATTTCTTCCAGTCTAATAATGTGGCATGCTTTATCAACTTTCTTTTATTTACTATTTCATAATACTTTCCTATGATTTTCTATCTTTTAAGGTTTCTTTTTTACTATTTTGTTTTGCTTTTGTTTATCATGAATGATATAGAGAAAAGTAGATGATATAATATAGCAATTTCTCCATTAGGTAAAGCTAGAGATTTTCCTAATTGTTACCTATTTCTCTTCTCCCAATCTCAAAGTTCTTCTAGGATTAGGGTTTTTAACTGTATGCTAAATGGTTACTGTTTCTTAATGTCTATTTACTGGCTAAGTGAGAATTTAATGTTCTTTTAAATGGCCAAATATTTTCAAGTACAGAGAGAGGTTGACATAAAATTATTAAGAAAAATTAGGAAACCACATATTTTTTATTTTCTTCATCATAATGCTATTAGTAAAGTCTTTAACAAAATCACTTATACCAATATTGGAAGGATGGCACCTCATTTGCCATAATATTCACCTCTCTCAGGTATAGTTAAGCAATCCCAGAAAGTGTTTCACAATAATTGAGCCACATTTAAACATCACATTCAAAAGGCCTAAAACTCTTTCCCAGTCAGACACTAGTGCCTTTAGAAATATTTTTAAAATCAATCCATACTTTCTATTTCTATAATTAAAGATTAATTTCCTAACAAACATCTTCCAGCAAAAACAAATAGAAATCCTGGGAAAAATTAAAACAAACAAATGCCATCTAAAAGTCTGAGTCAAAGGTGTTAATCTTTGCAAGGGAGTTGAAAATTTGGAAGAAGAGGGCCACCCTAGAGGCGCAGGGGTTAATTCGCAGCACTAAGAAGCTATCAGCAGCCACAGCAGCCTGAGTTTGATCCCCTGCCAGGGAGGTGACCCACATGGCACGGCAGACCTCTCCTGTCTCACCCGCTGCTCCCCTCAGCAGTGCACTTTGGTCTGTCTGCCTGTTCTGCTCCCCACTCTGTCTCTGGTAAATCCTCTCACCCCCCACACTTCTGGCCTGTACCCCAGCTCTTATATGCATAAATAAATAATCTTTAAAAAAAAAGAGAGAGAAAATTTGGAGGAAGAAAACAGGGTCACTAGAATATTTTTTCATCTTTGATCTAGAACAGCCCTGGTCATAGAGGTGGTACCAGCTGGTTCAACCTCTATAGAAAAATGGCGCCTCTACCTTAATGGAGAAAATAGGCAAAGGAGATTTGGGCAACCAAGACTCTATTCCTGGTAGACAGGGACACTGGAAAAAATAAGGAAGCAGAGAATTGTATATAAACTCTGCTACCACCTCTACTAAACAAATGGGGCCAACTCACAGAATTCTAGTCTGGCATCAAGGCGGCCACACACAGGAGGTATGATAGAATTCACAATTTGAGTCTAGTAGATTAACAGAAAAGTCAAAAGGCCCCATCCATGATACTATTTATAATAACTATTTGTCATTTGGATGACCAAAATAGGTTTCTCACAGACATTCAGGCTTCATCCCACAGTTCCTGACTCACAGCTTTTGAAACCTCTGTAATTTCCTACATGTTGAGAGCAGTAAATGTGACTTTCTCTTTGTGAATGAGGGGACATTTGGGGAAACACCTAAGAATGGGGTGTGGTTGCCAGATGAACCAATCATATGATTAGAGAGCTGCAGCTTCCATTGACAACTCCAGACCTCCAGGGATGTAAGGGAGGTTGGAGATTGAGTTTTTAAGCAACATTATAGAATTTCTAAATAAATGGACAGATGTCACAATTCACTACAAATTGATCTATAGATGCAAGTCATCCCAATTTAGTAGAAATTGATGAGCTGATCTTGCACATTACACGGAAATGTAAATGACATGAGACAAAGTCCTTTTAACATACAGCCCTTACACTACTTGATTTCACAACTTAAAATACAGTTATATAGTAATAAAGATAGCATGGTGTTGGTAAATAGACTTACAGATCAATGGAACATAAAATCAAGAACAGAGCAATATAGATGCAGTTAATTGATTTTCAAGAAAGCTGCCATATTAAGTCAAGGAGAGAAATGAATCTTTTCAATAAATGGCACCTGAAAATTGAAAATAGATAAGGAAAAATTACCATTACCCCGTATAGCTTAACATATTAAAATATTGACTAAATATATCATATATCTGCATGTAAAAACTAAAACTTTAAGACTTCTGGAAAAACAGTAAAAAAAAAAAATTCTGCCATCTTGGAATGGCAAAGATTTCCTAAGATACAAAACTTATAAAAAATAATGTAATAAATGGGAAAAAAAAGAACTTCATCAAAAATACTTTTCTTTTGCTGTTTGAATGACACTGTTAAAATACGAACAAACAAGTCACAAATTGGAGACAACGTTTCAATGCATATATTGAAAGATCATTTGCATCCAGAATATATAAAAATTCTTACAATTTAATAAGACAATTCAATAAAAATGGGCAAAAGATTTGACCAGATCCAAAAACACACACACAAAAAAAAACCTAAATGAATACTTAAAAGCACATGGAAAGATAATTATCCATCAGAAAAATGCAAATGACAACCATTATGAAATAGCACTGCACACTTACTAGAAAGATAAAATTAAAAAGAATGACAAGATAAAGCATGGACAGAATGTGGAGCAACTGGGGTTCTCATCTACTCCTTGTAGGAATTCAAAATGATAGAACCAATTTGGAAAACCACATGGCAGTTTCTCAAAATGTTGAGCATACACCTACTGTAATTCACAGCCTTTCTACTCTGAAATAGTTAGCATATGTCCCACAAAAAGACTTGCCCACAAATGCTCATAGAATGGCAGCTTTATTCCAAATAACAACAACAATAAAGAAAAAAAAACAGCAACAACCTAAAGTCCACCAACAACTGAACATAATATCATCATACCGTGGAACTCTACTCAGAAATCAAACAGCACCAGCACCTATAAAATATGAGAATCAGCGACTGAAGCGTGATTTCCCTGACACCAAGGAAGCTTCTCATTCTACCACGTGTGTATCGCTCATACATTCCGAGAAGCAGATGCAAAGGTGACAAGATCAGGATTTTCCCCAAAAATGTAACTTTAAATGCATATTTAAATAACCACTTCTTTACTTCCTGACCCCAAATTTATTTATTAGAGTTTTTATAAAAATAGTTACAAAAATATAAACAACTCAAATCTCATATGGGGAAAAGTGCTTTGTAAAGAGACTTCATGTTTTCTGGGGAAAATTTTAACAACAGAAATAATCTTAGGGAGTCAGCCTAGTCAGCCATGATTGAAGAACTTAGCCAGGCTTGTCACAGACACTTGAACAAATCCTCTAGGTATGACCTGGGAAGGATGATACCTTATGTCACCAAAACATTTAAAGAACAAATCAGGGTTTGTTTATCAGATTTCATTATGAAGTAGTCTGTAATTAACTATGTAAAAGGGGAATGACCAGCCAATCCATTAAATAGCTTCAGCACAGTTGTTTACTTGGGATGCAAAGTGGAATGATAAGGCTATTTCCCCAAATAATTTAGCACCTCTTCATTG